ATTAAAGATGTATATGGAATCTTTTTTTCCCTGTACCTTTTTCATTTTTAGTTGCTACATAGTAATCCACTAACCTCTCTCCGGGTGATTAACAGTAGCCTTCTAATTGGTCTCCTGGTTTCCGTTTTGCTTTTACAAAAACGAGCACAGCCTTTTCCCTGTAGATGCTTGAGTGAACTTTAAAAGTGCTATAAAAATCCCAAATCATGTTACTCTAGAGACTGCCCATTGCACATTTGGATTTGTGTTACATCTTTATTGATCTGGTCCTCACCTTTGTTCATGGTTCCCTGATGTCTAAATAACACCAGTAACCTTTTAGTGCATTTACCGCTAGCCCTTTCCATCCTTTGTACTTGTTCTCTGCATGGAGTGTTCTGCCTCACATTTACCTGGCTAGCTCCTTCTCTATTCAGATGTTCCTCTATTTATACGTTTTCCTCATCATTTGCTCTAATCTAGCATCACTAGCTTCCCCAACTAGTCATTCCATTCTCACCTTGTTTTCTTCAAAGCAGTTCATTGTTTTGTTTTCATTTACTCCCTAACAGTTGAGAATACAGGCTTTCTTAGCTATATGAACATGATTTTTTTCCACTGTTATCTGTGATGCTAATAACTGATAAACAGATGTTTCCATCAAATAGAATGTAATTTTTTTATTCAGTCAGCAATTGATGGACAGCTTTCTCTGTGAATGCATGACTATGCTGACCTCTTAGAACGTGTCTGGGAATATTCTACAGAATTCATTTCTATTATAAAAGTGGAATATTTAAGTAAAAGGGCATTTATACTTAAATTTAATGGATAAAAAGATAGCTCTAGAAAAGCTTCTGCCAATTTAGTTAATAGCTTTATCAGCAGTGGGTATTATTAATCTGTTTTCAGTCTTTACCAGTCTAATCAGCAGACAAATAAGTAGATTTAATTTTTTAACTTCCTTAAAATGGTTGTTCCTTTCCTTGCTTTGTTTACTTACAATTTGACCTCAGGTTTTTGTGAACTTGTAAATAAGTCTTTAATTGTATTTCACAATTTTTGTCCAGTTTGTTGATTTAAAAAAATTTTTTTGCTTGGAATATAAAAACATGCACAAACCATCCTGCATTATTACCCTTTTTGGTTTCAGAGTTTCAAGTCATGCTTATAGGGCTTTTTTCTCTGCTACGATTATCAAGTAATTTATCTTTTCTCTTTCTAGTTGAGATATCATATTTTAATCTTTTAAATAACTTGCCACATTATGTCAGGATGCTTTCTGATTGCTATAGATTATTAATTCATATCCCAACACTACAGTTCAATTGATGTGGTTCATTTATGATTTATTTTAGTGTTTGATAGAAAAGGTCCTATCTCATAGTTGTTTTCTTATAGTTGTTTTGAGTTGTTTTAGTATCTTTAGATTTCTATTACAAGTGAACTTAAAAATTCTTTTTACTTCTAAAATTCTGAGTGCATAAACTTAAGTTAGAGACAATGCTTATACGCAGTATAAAACTTTCCAAGTTTAGATATCTCCAGTTTTTTATTGTTAATAACTGAGAAACAGTTTTGTGATTGTATTTTTTAGATATTGTATTTGTATATTAGAAAGTAGTTCACATATAATTTAGTGGTCATATTTATTAAAAATTTAGTTAAGTTGTGGATCTGTTTTCTGTGCTGCCTAATTAGGCTGTAAAATTCACTGAAAATGGGCATAAAGTGTCTCTTGAATGTAAACAAAGTGTGTTTTCAGTTTAAAAGTGTTTAGCCAATCGTTTGTGAACTCAAAAAACAGTATTTTCATTGCCAAAGTGTAGTACTAACAAACCCTCCCACGAAACAATGGTCTTTATTGCTTTTTAAATACAATCTTTTAGTCTGTTTAACTTTTATGACTGCTGCCTTTTTAAAGAGATTGGGAATATTTTATCCTGGTATTTGAGACTTGAGTTTTTAAAGTTGCACTGATTTAACAAAAGTTTGCATAAAATAACTCTGGTCTCACTCTCACCTCCTTTTGTAATTGCATTTAAATTGTTTTTAAAAATGAAAGTTTAAAGATTAGAATTTAAATTATTGTGCTTGAAATACTGGTTACATAGCTGTTTTCTTATTTTCAATTTTTTCTATACAGATTATGGGGGAATGCTGTCAAACACCCTTGTACTTACACCAAAATTAAAAGTATAATTTTGCTGTATTTGTTAGATTTGTAAAAAAATCTTAATATTTTGAAGCCATGTTTACTACAAACCTTTCCCCTTCTATTCCCTTTGCCCCCCTGAATATTAAGTAACTCAAACAGTGTGTTTTCTTTTTCTACTTTATAAACAATTAGGGACTTTTTTTTTTAACCTGGCATAAAATCAGTTGAAAATTAGGAAAATGCAATGCTGCCTGTGAAAATTGTAGCAGTGTTGGCTTATCAGTATTTTGAAATTGTGTATAATAGATTTAAAAAATTCTTAGGTATTATAGTTGAAACAGTCTTCAGGTGGGAGAAATTGTGAGAATTATTTATTTGGAGGATGCAGGTCTTTATTACTTTGTCTTATTCCACTTATCTGCTATTAAAGAGTGGGGAAGTATTAAGTATTAGTGTAGACATAGGATTCTATACAAATGATATTTTATAAAGATCACTACAACATATAGGGACTTAATATTTAAAGAATACCTAAAAGCATAATGTATGCCATCTTAAATGTATACACATAATATATACATGTAAAATTTGGTATCATATGCAAAAATGTAATTAGCTGCATATTTTCATATGCAGTATTATTCCAAGCATATAATACTTTATGGATGGCATAGAGATGATGATGAAATGAAAGAATATTAGACTTTTTATTCTCCAGTCTTTATGAAGGTACCAAATAGAAGACTTCTGTTTTCCTCCCCACAGTACACTTATTTTAAGTTCTGTTTCTCTGGAACTAGTTTGTCCCTCTGATATTTAAGTTTTCTTGAAGTTATTTGTAAGCCTTGGATTGGCAGTTCTGAGATTGGATTCTTACTGACTGGCAGCAAGGGAAGTCAAGTCGTGGGGCTGGGACTCTTGCCCAAAGGTTCTTTCCTTGTGTTTTCTGGATAGTGTGTTCAGTTCCTTTAATAAGTAATTCTCAGATTTTTGGTAAATTTGGGTTTGTCTGTAGAGCTGTGTAGTGGTGAGTTAGCATATACTCTTGCCAGTATAGATCCACATTTCCACATCTGCTTTTTGCTTCTCTACCTGTTGATTAACACCTGCCCACCCTTACTTGTAGGGTTGCTATAGGGTTGCAATATACAGAAGCAATCATTTTTGTGTTTACTAAATTTTAAAATGCTATGAAAATACAGTTGGGAAGTTTCCATCAATCATATTGGTATTGTAAGTTTGTTACATAAACGTAAGTTTTTTACCAGCTCTCTCAGATTCCCCCCACCCCCAGTAGCATGGTTACAATGTTTTTTTCTTTTCATGAGCAACAAGAAAACAAACTATAAGCCTTCCCCACCCTCCTTGCCCCACTTTGCAGCCAGCTATGTTATAGCACCTCTTAAATAGCTGCTCAGTTTACAGAGGTGTCTGCTTGGTTTCTGAGCCCTATGACCAGAGAAGCCCAGATCTTAAATTCCATTTTCTGGAGAGTTAGGGAAGTGTAGTTAAAAAGCCAGTCACCAAGAGATAGGCATAAAAGAAAAGCTAAACTACATCATCAATGAGGTCCAGGAAAAAAACTGGGTTCCTTCCAGTTAAAGTATTTCTCAGAGTGCAGTCTGCAGGTCCTTTGCTGCACGCTAGACACACAGTCCTGTTTTCAATTAATTTAAAATATAAGATTGTTAGAAATTAATTTTATTATTGTCTGCCCTTTTGCCTTGTACATAAAATTGGCAAATGCTTCTACTGTGGACATTAAAAACAATTGATATGCAATTCTTGTCAACTTCAGGTGTCAAAAGTATATTTAAGGTTGTAAAATCATACAAATCACACAAACATAGTGTTGGTGGAATAATCTTAGGAAAAGTCAACATATGCTTGCTTTTATATCGACTCAATAAAATGGAATTTTTATAGGGTGCTGTTTTCAGTTTCATTAAACAAGTATTTAAACGGTATGGCATTTTCTCTGTAGGAAATCACAGCTCACTTAATCTTAGCGTCCACTTTGTTAATTTGTAATACAAGATGAACTTGTTAAGGAGCAGCCTCTATAACAGAAGAAATCTTGTATTTAGGACTATCTTCAGCCATGAGCCCTTATAAAGCGTTTAGTTTGCAAGGGTTCCCATATGATACAGGGTTTTCCTGAATATTAAGCAATAAAGTAAAAATGTTAACATTAAAAATATTAAAAGAAGGCTCATAGGAATGACTAATTTTATATTCATCAAATTACATCCCATCACTAATACGTGGATTTATTATAAATCATTTGATAGATTTGAACTTGGATAAGATTTACTATAAAAGGTGCTTTTAACATTTTACTTGAAGTATTTTTTGCTTCTCAATATTAAGTGTTATAAATCTGTCACCAGAACCTGCTTTATTGAGGGTATTTTAGATAACATTGTATATTAAAAGATATTTTACTTTCTTGATGAAAATTTGGTGTTTAAAAAATGACATTAAGGGCAAAGGGTTAGGATGCAGCACTGCAAGGTAGCTGCAGCTGCTTCAGTGTGAGTTCGATCCCCAGTCCTGGAGCTGACCCACATGGGGCGGCAAGCCTCTCCTGACCCGTCCGCTGCTCCCCTCAGCAGTATACTGCATTGATCTGCCTATCCTGCTCCCCACTCTGTCTCTGGTGAAGCCTCTCATTGCCCCTGCGTCTCTGGCTTGTATCCCAGTTCTGTATGCATAAATAAATAAATCTTTGAAAAAATATCATTGGATCTTTTCTGTCCAAAGAGGGTCTATAAATTTTTCAGTGAGAGAAGTTTAAAAGGAAGACTAGAGTTGATTTGAAAGCTAAGTTAAAATTCTAATGACTTTTGATTAACTCTTTTAGGGTATCTGAAGTTTACTGTACGAAGATTTTGAAAATCCTGTGTGGACAATGGCTACCCAAGGTTTGTATTTTTAAGTCTAAGGTTACTAAATTGGGACACTGCTTTGTTACCATTAACCTGGTTTGGCACAGATCCCATTTTCCTCTTTTCCTGCTTGCTTGTGAAGCTACCTTTTGCTCTACTTTCTCTTTTCTCCTAATGTCTTGGTGAAAGAGCAAATAAGCCACCAGCAGGAATCCGAGCCTGGGTATAGTAGTGCCATTCTTCACTGATTCAGTGAGTAACAGTTAGGTGGTCCCCTAAGAGAACATACTTTATCCCTAAAGTAATCAATCCTCACTGTCATTCTCTCATACTTGGCTACATTTCAGATTCGACTTTATTTTAAAAAAAAATAATCTTAGCGGGTCATATCAAGTGTTTTTGTTTGTTTGTTTGTTTGTTTTTTAATTAATGGTATTGCTTGTTGATTTTTGTAGCTGATTTGATGGAGCTGGATATGGCCATGGAGCCAGACAGAAAAGCAGCTGTTAGTCACTGGCAGCAACAGTCTTACCTGGACTCTGGAATTCATTCTGGTGCCACTACCACAGCGCCTTCTCTGAGTGGTAAAGGCAATCCTGAGGAAGAGGATGTGGATACCACCCAGGTTCTGTACGAGTGGGAACAGGGATTTTCTCAGTCCTTTACTCAAGAACAAGTAGCTGGTAAGTTAGTATCTTACAGAAAGGAAGTAGTAGTTGAGAATGAGTTACTGATGAAGTTAGTGCATTACAGCCTATGGTGAAGGAAAGGAAGTGATAGCAGAGTCACCTTCATCAATAAGGATAACAAATATTCAGGTTAGTGTTGAACTATGGATAGTGAATGTTGAATCTGCCTTTTCCAGATATTGATGGACAATACGCAATGACTCGAGCTCAGAGGGTACGAGCTGCTATGTTCCCTGAGACATTAGATGAGGGCATGCAGATCCCATCAACACAGTTTGATGCTGCTCATCCCACTAATGTCCAGCGTCTGGCTGAACCATCACAGATGCTGAAACATGCAGTTGTAAATTTGATCAACTATCAAGATGATGCAGAACTTGCCACACGGGCAATTCCTGAGCTGACAAAACTGCTAAACGATGAGGACCAGGTAAGTGATGGGATATGTCAGCTTTTTACATTATTCTGAAGAAGCACTCGAAGTAGTCCCACAGCGTCTACCCAGTAACAGTATTGGAAAACTGATGATGTCTCATAATTGTCTACATTATAGGTGGTGGTTAATAAGGCTGCGGTTATGGTCCATCAGCTTTCTAAAAAGGAAGCTTCCAGACACGCCATCATGCGTTCTCCTCAAATGGTATCTGCTATTGTACGCACCATGCAGAATACAAATGATGTGGAAACAGCTCGCTGTACTGCTGGGACCTTGCACAACCTTTCCCATCATCGTGAGGGCTTACTGGCCATTTTTAAGTCTGGAGGCATTCCTGCCCTGGTGAAGATGCTTGGGTAAGAAAATAATAGTCTGAATGCTCAAAACTAAGATAGAAAAGAGTTAATCACAGCATTTCTGATGGGTCTTTTTTCTTTTTCTCAGTTCACCAGTGGATTCTGTGTTATTTTATGCCATTACAACTCTGCACAACCTTTTATTACATCAAGAAGGGGCTAAAATGGCAGTGCGTTTAGCTGGTGGGCTGCAAAAAATGGTCGCATTGCTCAACAAAACAAATGTTAAATTCTTGGCTATTACAACAGACTGCCTTCAGATCTTAGCTTACGGCAATCAAGAAAGCAAGGTAAAAGAATTGTGAATGAGGTTGTTATGGAGCACTGGAGACACTCCGAGTGTTCTCTCATTCTTGTAAATTATTGTATGTCTCACAGCTTGTAGATAGCTTAGAGAAATTTAGGCCTTTGTATTTTTATTTTGATATTTGAGTGTATATAAAGAACTGTGCTAAGCACTAGGAATATAGTTGACAAGCCTCTCTTAAGAGTTTTTATTCTTGGAAGGGAGGCGTAGCATTAAAACAGTAAACTAAGTAGAGGGCAATGAGAGCACATGAGTGACGGACACTATTTTAAGGAATCAGAGAGACCTCTTGGAGGAACTAATAAATTGTTGAATTCAGCTCTCAAGGATGAGAAGGGGTGATCTGTAGATGAAGGTTAGGGCGAGGAAATAGTTTTGAAAGTCCTACTGTGGGAGGAACATGATGAATTTTGGAAACTTAATACAAAAAAAGTAATAAAGAGGAAGAAAAGCCCAAGTGAGATTATTGGAACAAAGCAGTCTCTGAATATTCTTGTATGCACTTGAACAATGGGACAGAAGTTTTAGTTTCAGCAGAGGCATGAAGTGATGAGATTTGCTTTTAGAAAATCTGG